GATCGAGCGCCAAAACACGTGGGGACAACATGGAGCGCGTAGTGCACCGTCTAAGCTAAGAGGGGCAAAGGGAGCCCAGAGGTCAGGTACCAAATAGCATCGCATGGTCCTTACATCGAATCATCATCCACGTTACAAAGAAAAGCAGCATCTGAAACATGAATAACGAGTCCGTCTGCTTTTCCTACAACGCCCAGCCCTTATTCGTCCAAACATTGCCCGTCCCGATGGCCCAGTTGGCTCGAGCGCTTGCCTTCCGATCCACCCACCCGTGGCAGGGTGGGTCACGCACCCCTCTACGGCGTTCAGCCTGGCGGGCCATCCGCGGCAGGCACCGCGACCTCTGTCGCAGAGCCGCGCCCGCAGGAGCCGGACCCACCTGGCGAGCAGAGCTGCCGCAGCCGCTGGTAGCTCTCCTGCAGCTCCCCCGCCGTGGGGCAGGCAGCTCCCACGTCCTGTACCACCGGCTCCCGCATGAAGGGCTGCGAGGCGCGCATGGCGTCCAGCAGGCGCCGCTCCTGGGGGCTGATCAGGGGAGACGGTGAGGTGTCTGGGACCTGACACTGCTCCTGGGGGCTGATCACGGGACAGGGTGAGGTGTCTGGGACCTGACACTGCTCCTGGGGGCTGATCACGGGACAGGGTGAGGTGTCTGGGACCTGACGCCGCTCCTCGGGGCTGACCACGGGACAGGCTGAGGTGTCTGGGATCTGGCACTGCTCCTGGGGGCTGATCACGAGACAGGGTGGTGTCTGGGACCTGACACCGCTCCTCGGGGCTGATCACGGGACAGGGTGAGGTGTCTGGGACCTGACACCGCTCCTGGGGACTGATCACGGGACAGGGTGGTGTCTCAGACCTGACACTGCTCCTGGGGGCTGACCACGGGACAGGGTGAGTTGTCTCAGACCTGACACTGCTCCTGGAGACTGATCACGGGAAAGGGTGAGGTGTCTGGGATCTGACACTGACCCTAAGGGCTGATCACGGGTCAGGGTGAGGTGTCTCAGACCTGACACTGCTCCTGGAGACTGATCACGGGACGGGGTGAGGTGTCTGGGACCTAACACCGCTCCTAGGGGCTGATCACGGGACAGGGTGTGGTGTCTCAGACCTGACACTGCTCCTGGAGACTGATCACGGGACGGGGTGAGGTGTCTGGGACCTAACACCGCTCCTAGGGGCTGATCACGGGACAGGGTGTGGTGTCTGGGACCTGGCACTGCTCCTGGGGACTGATCGGGGGACAGGGCGAGATATCTGGGACCTGAAACCACTTCTTGGGGCTGATCAGGGGACAGGGTGGTGTATCAGACCTGACACTGCTCCTGGGGACTGATCAGGGGACAGGGTAGTGTCTGGGACCTGACACCGCTCCTGGGGGCTGATCAGGGGACAGGGTGGTGTCTGGGACCTGACACCGCTCCTGGGGACTGATTAGAGAGCAGGGTCTACACCTTCCCGGCACATCTACGGGAACGGACGCACCTTCGTTCTATCAAGGAATCAGATCAATCAATCAACACACCATTTCTCAATGCCCGGAAAGGAACACCTCCCTGTCCTTGGCCCGAACACGGGCATACCACCTTCGTGACGTGCCGGGGGAAGGGTGGGTATGTCCGTGCCCCTTATCACCCTGGGCCCGGGGCCGGACACAAAGCCAGCTTGGGCCTAGTCACCTAAAGCAAAGTTGGGCACTGCATGACCTACAAGCAGCCGATGCGCCCTAAAACCCCAAATCATCATCATCATCATCATAAAGCAAAGCTTCCAGCTTACACAGTTCTAGATTGCTACGTGTATCCAGACGAACCGAAAACAGTCAATTTTATGTAATCTGTAGCTTCTGAGGTCGTTGATAAAAGGGCCCGTCGCTGCACTCGGCTGATGAGTCAATCAGTCCATGCGACGCAAACCAAAGCTGCGTAGATAAGCAGCTTCGTTTCATGAAACACAGTCACGCCCCGGCCAGGCCCCACCTGTTACGCATGTCCGGGTGCGTGTAGGCTGACCGGACGATGGCAGCGCCCTCAGCATTGCCCCAGCACCAGATGGGCGGCCGCCGCTCCACGAAGTGGCCGCTGGCCGCCACCAGGTCAGCGTCGAGCAGACCCTTGGGCACCACCAACACCTCGGGCAGGCTGGCAACGATCGCGACCGTCAGAACTGGGACAGCCGCGGGCCGTGTGCGCCGAGGTATGCATGGACGGCTGCACCCGGACAAATACGCAGGTCAGATGGAGGCGGGTGTCCGATGGAGACGAGCGTCACATGGAGACGGAGGTCAGATGGATGAGCGGATACTAGGTGGATACGAAGCGTCACATGGGACGGAGGTTTTCAGATGGAGACGGCTATTCAGGTGGAGACGAGCGTCACCATGGAGGAACGGAAGGTCAGATGGAGACGATATGTCAGGTGGATAACGAGCGTCAACATGGAGACGGAGGTCAGATTGGAGATGGTATGTCAGGTGGAGATACGAGCGCCACATTGGAGACGGAGGTCAGATGGAGACTGATGTCAGGTGGATACGAGCGCCCACATGGAGACGGAGGTTTCAGATGGAGACCGGATGTCAGGTGGAGACGAGCGTCACATGGAGACGGAGGTCAGATTTGAGACGGATTTGTCAGGTAATTGGATACTAGCGCCACTGGAGAACGGAGGTCAGATGGAAGACGGAGTCAGGTAGGATACGAGCCGCCACATTGGAGACGGAGGTCAGATGGAGACGGATTTGTCAGGTGGATACGAGCGCCAACATGAGACGGCGGTCCGATGGAGACGGAATGTCAGGGTGGATACGAGCGTCACATGGAGACGGAGGTCAGATGGAGACGGATATCAGGTGGATACGAGCGTCACATGGAGACGGAGGTCAGATGGAGGCGGGTGTCCGATGGAGACGAGCGTCACATGGAGACGGAGGTCAGATGGAGACGGATGTCAGGTGGATACGAGCGTCACATGGAGACGGAGGTCAGATGGAGACGGATGTCAGGTGGATACGAGCGCCACATGGAGACGCAGGTCAGATGGAGACGGATGTCAGGTGGATACGAGCGCCACATGGAGGCGGAGGTCAAATAGAGACGGATGCCGGGTGGAGACGCAGGTCAGAGGGAAACGGAGTCGGATGGAGACGGAGGGCAGATGGCCAGAACCACAGCTCGTCGATACATTGCAGCCAACGCGGGAAGAGACGAGAAAAAAACGGAATATCTCCGACGGCAGACATCCCAGCCCGTCAACAGCACCAACAAACCCACGGCACACGGCACCAACGCGGGAGGCATGCAGCACCGACGGCCGATGGTGCCATTTGTGGCCGCACCATCAGCCAGTGACCTATGGCCAACGACACCGGCACGACCCGACCTGAGGACGTCCGCGGCCTTACCTGCGGCACATCTGGTACAGCTCGTTGGCCTGCGAGACGCGCCAGCCGAGCGCGCCTGTGCGCCGCAGCTCGGCCTGCCAGTAGGCCGGCGTGCCGAGGTCGCACAGCTCGCCGGTGGCCGGCCCGCCCCTGCGGCCGGACAGAGGTCAGCGGCGTCGCCGGGGCGACGCAGCGCGCGGTCACAGGTGATGGGTGTGCTGACTGTTGCCGCTCAGCACCTAGAGTGGGTTCTGCTCCCAGTATTACAAGGTAGGGGTACTTCAATTCAGGACGAAGGAGTACGGTGGGCCCCCCTCAAATAAACCAAACAGGAGGCTGCCATGAGAAGGACGGCCACGTACATTGTACGCAAACAAAAAAGCCACGTGCAAATCACAATATCTGCACATACCACTAACATCGCACTACAGTAAAAAATGAAAAGAGTCAGAAGCAATGCTGGCACTTCGCAACTATCACTCGTATCTGGCGGCAGCCATGTGTTCAGAAAAAGGCTAACCTCCGCTGACCAGCGGAGCGGCAGAGCCTCGCCAGACCGGCCGGACGCGTCCGTCGCAGCCGGCGCTTACCGGTAGCTGAAGGCGAACAGGAGGTGGACGGACTGCGGGTAGCAGAGGTTCAGCAACGCGCTTGTCACCGCTACGGCTTCGTTCACACTTGTCAGATTCAGACTGAACGTGAACAGGCGAAAATCCTGCAATAATGAGCGAAAAGGGAGGTAAAAAGTTGCACGAAAGACACGCCCGTACCCTCCTCGAGTCAGTGCGTGGACGATCGGGTGTAACCTGCACGACTTCCTCTCTCCAGAAGCACATCGCATGCAGCAAACCATGAGGTGCATACGTCATCACTACGAGACTCCAGCAGCAGTAAATGGGGGGGGGGGGGGGGGGGGAGCAGCGAAGTTACCTTGCATCGTATCTGGATCCCCTTGATCTTGCCTTGCACAGTGGACCGTGGATAGAGCCGTTTGGTCTTTCCGCTGGACGACAGGAGTTGATGAATAGTATCAACATTCATCAAACAGATATCTCGTGGTCCCAGAAGCAGGTTGCGCTGTTCCATTGACGCCTGCCGGAGAGTCAAAGGTTATTTTCACCACAGCCACAGCTTGGTACCTTGAGATGGCTTACTATGTCACAAGTGGCCTTAAGTGTACTATATATCTGTAAGTAACTAAGTGCGGGCGGGTCATGGTCCTCCTTGCGGCGTCAACCAACCGGACATTGTGTTGCTCCAGCGGAAAGATCACGCTCGATCCATCGAATTGCGCTTCTGATGAGCTCATATATTTACACCCAGTGGGCAGTGAGGGTGGAGGCCAATTTGATTCAGTAAAAGGTCTTCCCAGAAAAGATTCCGAGCTTCTACAGCGACGTCTAACTTTGTATAGCTGCAAACAACTGCCGATCTTTCGGTATGAAAATGGACAAGCCCTTTAAGGTCACTGGCCTGTAGCATGAAAGTAAGCCCACGGTCGTCAGCGGACAAATTATTTGGGAATCTTCAGAAATGAGCAGGAAGGAAGTTACTATTTTTTCTAGAACAGTCACAGAAGGCCCTTCCTGCTCAGCTCAGTTGGTAGAGCGGCGGACTTGCAATAGAAAACCCCGGTTCGAAACCTAGATATTCCGAGGAGCGAACACAGGCTGTTGCACATACATAGCTGAAAGCCAAACATCTCCAGTTCTTCTCACGACTCAATAACGCCCGACGACAGCCAAACAATTAACTGGCCGAGATGTTGTGCACAAGCTTACACACGGGACGAAGACGGAAGCCCGAACCGTCACTCCATCTGAGGTCAGCAAACCTGTCCACCAATCAAACTAAGGAAATATTGACTTTTGGATTGAAAGCCTATCAGAATGGATTTGCGGCAGCGACTGGCTCCATTTGTTTATATTTTGGTACCATCCACAAGGTGATAACATGCAGGCATGTCTGTTGTCATCTCGCCCGCCTCAGAACACAAAAGGCATCCTGTACGAATTAGGCAAAAACAGTGATGTTTGGGTAAAACAACACATCGACGTGGGCCAAACTGGGGTGGATGAGGCAAACTTATCCCAATGCATGTCATACCAGGTACTTCCAAGACCTCTCCGCGACTGCCTGGTATGCATAGCTAGCAGCAGACACTACTTGCATATACATTAGATTTCCACTACAGACCAGACAGCTCACACCCTTGATCTCCTGCCAGCAGTGCCAGCCTGCCACTCACGAGTCTGCCCTGCTGGTTGCGCGCCTCCAGGAATGTCAGTTTGAAGTTGGTGACGACCAGCCGTCCGAGCACGCCGTCGGGCCGCTCCGACAGCGGCAGGTACAGCAGCACGTCGTCGGCCGACGCCACCAGCACCTCCCCTGGCAGCAGCAGTGGCTCCAGCTGGGCAGGCTTCTCCGAAGCCGACTGGCAAGTCAGGGCTGGTTAGCAAGGTCTAGCAGCGTGCTTGCCGCCAAGTGTTGCTCGTAAAATCCAAGCCTCTACCACACCTCCTTTGGAGACGTCTGCACACGACGCGACGGACCTCGCTTGTTTCCCTTTTCCGATGAAAGTCGTAATGCCCCACCTCACTGGACGTGCAAAATTTGTCTTGACCTCTGATAAAAGGCCCTGTTTGGACCATCATGCTCCAGTATTGGACAAATGCTCATTTTTAGTGATGAGCAATGAACAAAATCTGCATTCTTCAGTGGATTGTTTTGCATTCCATTTCACAGGAGTAGCTAGGAAATAGAAGACAAGAACTATAATTTCGTTTTGGAGCCACCTCAACACCCATAAAACCTGTCATGGCTGCTTCTATAGATATCCATTTAAGGAGATGTACATATAGACACAGAGATTTTGTCAGACATTTTGCTGATTTTAGAAATAAAATTTTCTGAATCTGTGATGACTGCTGACAAAAAGATACCACAAGTATTGATCCTGCTCCCATATCCCAACACCCTATCCACAGCACCATGTTAAGGGCTGCTTGCAATATAAAAATACACAAAAACACAAAAACTGCCAAGCCAAAACATTTCAATGATCTATACTAATTGCAGACTGAAAATACATTTAGCTTAAACACTGGAGCAGTCATTCAGGCTCCCATATCTAACACCTGATGCACAACACCTAAAATCCAATTCTTGATGCAAGTGCTGCAATGTCTGTGATTTGGGCCAACTGAAACACAGACATCACAGCTAAAGGTTGCAATGACCCAAACCATGCATAAGGTCAGCCAAAGAAAAATCATTTCAAAATTTGGTGCAAGCAATTTGGCCTGGCCTGAGTTTGTTGCACATGCGCTCCAGGCATGGTACACTAATGCCAGATACATCAGTATTACATAAGCATTGAATAGTGTATGTTTTCAGATTGGCTGTGGGTCGATTGCCACTGACAGCTAGAGATAGATTAGAGAACTGGCATCCAATTTCATATTTCCTGTAAAGGTTATTGGATACAATACCTCTCACAGGCATGTTGTAAGCAAATTCAAGGCTATCCAGACTATGGAAATAAGCTGTCTGCTTCACAAGAAATATGCTGACAGGAGTCAACTTACTTTCTGGAGCACCTAAACATCTTGCTCTGGGCCATGGCTACATTGGTAACTTACACTGCAATAGCAAACTGTTCATTAAATGATGTCCTTATGACATTCAGGACACCATAAATAATCCTAGAACAGAAACATTTCAATGATATCTTATCTTCCCTTCAGAACATAGTAATTCTGATAACAACTGCAGAGACCTGTATGTCACACTAATGGCATGGATGCTAATGGGATGATGGGTTCCAGGGATTGGGTGGGGAGGTTGGCCACAATGATGACAGCTGGGTAAGGTTAGGTTAGGTTAGGTTAGGTTAGGTTAGGTTAGGTTAGGTTAGGTAGGTTAGGTAAGGTTAGGTTAGGTCAGGTTAGGTCAGTCAGGTCAGTCAGGTCAGACCAGGTCAGGTCAGGTTAGGTTAGGTTAGTTTAGGTTAGGTTAGGTTAGGCTACATTGGATTGGGTCAGATTCTGATCCTCTTTCCACTTTCATTCACAGGCCATTTTTTCAGGGGAAGTGCAGGATGACTATGTCATAGTTATGGTGGTGGTGGGTCAGGTGTGTTGCATCTCTGAAGTGCTAGGATGTTTGCCCCCTTCAAGCTTGAAGGTAAGAATGTAGATATGCCTGTTCCATGATTATTTACAATATTTTCTGCCTTAGCAAAGATGATTTGCATACAATGCTCTTTTGCAATACAGGGGTTTGTTCTGCTTTGTAACACAACACACCCATATTTTGTTCTGAGATGATGAATGTGTCAGAGTTTTACAACCCCACATTTATTTTGGAACCAGTGATGATGGGATGGTGGTGCATAGCACACCGAGTTAACTACTGGAAATGTCCTGGTGCTTAAACCAGATACATGATGCAACAACTTCATCCTCCATTAGGAGGCTTCAATGGGCTGCAGCCTACTCTCTCCCTCTCTCTCTTGTTTGTTACACAACTGATGAATGACATCTTCTGCAGTTTTGAGATGGCGAGTGCAGCTTGGATGTCTCAACAGCATATAGTACACATTGAAACCAAGTGATTTTTAGTAAAGCACAGCCAAAATGTCACATGGGAGGACAGCACAACATGCTGATGGTTGGTAGTAAATCCCTTAAATCATTTAAACAATTCAACAAATTAATCAAGGATTTCATGCATCTTGTATAATTGCAGAGAATGCACTTGAGCTTATTCAAATACCTGGGCAGTACTGAAGATTCTAGTGACAGGATTGAGGCTTAAAACAATAAAATGCTTATCACCCAGCAATGAAGCATATCACTGCAAGAACACAACCCATAGAAAATTAGTTCAAAAACATATGAGCCTCTTACCCCATTTTTATCGATGTATTCATCAAGGTCCACGTAACTTCGGAAACTTCTGGTCATCTTGGACAGATTAGACCACAAAATTGCTTACAAAACCATGGCCAGATCATGCCACACTCTCGCTCGTAGCAGAAGCCACGGCAAGTGTTGTGCATGGCTTCCAGACACAACACATGGTTATAACCAGTTACGCAACAGTTACATATCAAGTTCACTCCACATGTTTCGGGCCGCGGTTCCGCCGTATATCTTCGCACGTCTCACCGTGCTCACGGTTCTCCTAGATCGTGTTTGCTTCAGCTAAGGATTCTAGTACGCGCACGCATATGGCGCGAAAGTTTCGAAATACCGTGTAAATAAGTGCTTGGCTTGTGCTCGAAAAAGAACATATCTGCTCGCGTAGGCATTTTTGACTAATCAACTGAATAGCATGCTGAAAGGAAGCCAAATACCGCATTTCGATTGGTTTATAGTGCATACTCTTGCTGCTAACCTCCTGAATTGAGCATACTTGCGCCTTGCAGGGAGAGTAGGAGAACTGCGTCTAACTGCGCTCCATGGTCAAAGAGCCTGGCACATCCATGCTGTTTGGAGCGGTAAGTGGGGGACTAAGCGTGTGATCATGTTGTTATTGTTTTAGTGGTCTGTTTTTCACTTAGTATATTGGACAACACCTTGCAGAAGGTATAGCACCGGGTGAGGCGGTTTGATGCTGATAATATTGTTGCTTGACAGGATGAATTTAACATCGAATTATCAGATCGCCTGGAAGCTGATGACTGTTGATTCTCCCATGTGTTTTGCTATGTCTTCCGGTTTTTGTCAGCGAATTCAGCGCCCTGAACAGTCCATTACAATCAAGAACATTTGGTTGGGGCAACTGCAACATGAGGACCACAGATATTGAACATTGAGGCTGGTCAAGTGCAACATCTACATGTTCAATATTTAGGTATCATGTTGACAACATTATTTGGAAGTGCTCCATGTAAGATTATGGAGTAGATATGGAATTCAAATGGCAAAGAAATATTGCACAAGCCACCCAGCATGCTGCTCCAGCCTTTCATAATTCATTTGGTAGGGTGTTGTGGAGGTAGGTATAATTTATGATGCCATAATTCTGGCTCACTGACAGTATCATAGGAACAATAAATTAGCTGCTATTATGTTTTCCTTTGACCCCAATTCCTGACACCTGTCCAATTTGCCGAGTGTAGGGTACTTAGGGGGAGGGGGAGGCTTAAAGGACTGTTAAGTTTCATGGCAGGTGCCTCTTGCTAGATGCCTGACAAACAACATAATACAGGATAGGTGCCTAATTTTATACACAACTGTTTCAAATGATAACCAGTCATTTTAGAAATAAACTGAAACATTTCAGGCCATCCAAGGTAGCTACGTCTGCGAGCAACATCAGGTACCTGCCTTGGTTAGGCAACAGTGACCATGCGATCATCTTGCACCAGGGCCAGCTTTCTTGCACAACATAGCCAAGTCTCTTGAAGACTCTTCAGCCCAGACTAAAATATTCTTAAGGAAGAAGAATCTACAGATGAAGTGGGGAGTCTAAGCATTGAAAAAAGAGAGAAAGCTGTATTGTGGACACGAGCCCGGTATCTGGGCATTGGGCCATGCTAGGCTTACAGCCTGCTGGAATAACCTCAGAAAGCTTTCTAGAATCTTTGGAATGGCTACAAAAGAAAGCTTGCAGAAAATACAAGGGCTAATCCCAAGGCCTTTTAGTGGTATGCCAACTTGGTGGCCTCACACCAGATGCAAGGTGGAAAAATATGACAAGAAGGTGTCACACTCACTTTCATAACAAGGGTAACATTAGCATACTAAGCATGTTATTTGTGAGCGTGTTCGCTGGTGGTAGTGTGTGCACCCCACCTGAGATGAGCTTCAGCTGTGGAGAACCTGGTCTGGAAGACGTATCTCCACCCGGGCTGTGCTGGAGATGCTGGTCTGCTTCAAACCAACCAGCTCCCCAGGCTTGATGCCATCCAGCCCAGACTCAGCTGGGAGTTGGCAGGGCTGAGGGCAGAACCATTGCATGTGCTAATCTGGGAGTCCATCATCACTGAGTGCTCCCTGCTTGTTGGAATATGGGCAAAATAGCTCCTATCTACAAAATGTAGGCTTTACTGACTGAATTTGGCCATAACTGACTGACAGAAACACATAAATGCACACATTGCCCTGGCATGGCTGCCTGGATGACCATGAACTGAGCTTAAGGTAACAGTTTTTATTCATATAGCTGTTACTTCCCTATTAATGTGGTTTAACGTGATCTTGTATGCTGAAGGTTGATTCATGTTTCCATGAGAACTCAACCCATAATCCCAACAAAAAGCAGGAGTTTGTTTCCTTTCTTGCATGCACAAACCTAGTGGATGTGCTGTACTTGGACTTCAGGCCGGGGCCATCTTCTGCGCTGGATTGTGAAGGCTCCTGAGCAGTCATGAATGCAAAGAGCTCATCGAAGGCTCGTTGGCTGACCAACATGGAGGTGACACATTGCATCCCTGGAGGATGTTTTTGGGGCCTATCCTGTTTACAACGTGCATCAGCGATCTGCCTGAACGCATTCAAGGGTGAGCACAGTGGGCACAGTCAACGCAGGAAGCATAGTCAAGTTGTTCGCGGATAACACAGTGCTGCATTGTTGGCTGCAGAGGTCACTTGTGGGGGCTTCATGGGGACTGCAGGGCGACCTAGATGCCGTGGTGGAGTGGTCAAAGAAGTGGCCCCTTCCATTCAACCTATGGAAATGTGTGGTATGGTAGTGGTTTGAATGTGTTCAAAAGCACATCAGTGCCTGTAATGCATGTCTCGCCTGTTGTGTTGACAAAAAACAATTATCTAAGTAGTGTCCTAGAGAAGAGCCCATGTATCGCCATGGACCACAAGCTCAAGTTCCATGCTCAGATGGCACTTGCGGCGTCTAAGGCGTCAGAGATCCTGACACCTGATTGGTGATGCTTCTTCAACGTCGGCGTTCGCCACGCCATCACTCATATTGAAGACCATGGACAGTCGGTTTTTGAGCATTGGGACACCCAAGAAATGTGGGTTGATGATGGGTGGATTGCTGGACCATAACAAGTTGTAGTGCAGCGTCGCGTGATAGTTCATTCGAGGACATCCCGCACCGGACAACCCCGGAGAGACTCCTACTCTTGCAACCAACCCTGGAGAGACTCCTACTCTTGCAACCAACCCTGGAGAGGCTCTTACTCCTCCAACCAACTCCAGAGTCTCCTCCTCCAATGAACTCTGGAAAGACTCCTACCCTTACAACCAACCCTGGAGAGGCTCCTACTCCTCCAACCAACTCCAGAGAGTCTCCTCCTCTAACCAGCCCCGGAGAGACTCCTACTCCTCCAACCAACTCCAGAGAGTCTCCTCCTCCAACCAACCCCAGAGAGACTCCTACTCCCCCAACCAACCGCGGAGGGACTCCTGCTCCTCCAACAAACGCCGAAGCATCCCCCAGCTACCGTCTCTGTGCTGCAAACTTCGGGGAGATGTGATTGCTCCGTGCCAGCGGTTTCGCGAATGGATGTCTGTCGTCGGAGGATTTCATGATTTCCTCGAAACTGTGACCTATAGTGGATCGACGTGCCCATGGTTAGGCTCCGTGAGTTTAGATGGGACCTCCATAAGATTTACTGGTCTGCATCTAGGATTAGACGGCCTCGTGTCCAATACACATCTTGCAAACTGATAACTTTTCCCAGCTTCCATTGTGGCAATAGAGAAGGAGAACTTGTTGAAGAGAAACAAGGGGGACTTCCTTCACGGAATATGTGTGGCTGCTTTCTAAAATCGACATGAGAGAGTTTCAATATGTGTTGTTTCCCCTTAACTGTTAGTAGTCCTGTTTTCTGTTTTGCTCACCCCTTTGAAGTGTGATCTTTGGTGAGTGGTCAGTACCCTATAAGACCTTGTGGAGATATTGCAGACTTATATTACAGACTTATATTACAGACTTACAGATATTGCGGACTCAGTCATGGGAATTCGTGGTCGCTTCTTGTGCACAGACAAATAAGTTTTTTCATGATGTGTGAAACTAGATGTTTCAGTTGCAATGATAGTTTTAACTGCTGTTTTCTGAAATGGTGCTGTCGGTTGCACTATTGATGGGGGCATAGTGTGAATAATAATTCTAAGTGTCCACTGGAAAGCCTTTGCCCTTCTTTGGTAAGGAATTAAACCAGGCTATGTGTTTCTTAATTTAGTCCACCAAGAGTCGCTGCTTGCCATCCATTGTGTTCCTGAGCATGGCCTTCTGGACTCGAGAATGTATGTGCTCTTGAAAATTGAAATTCGATCCACTCCTGTACTAGTGAACAATCTGAGGCAAGTGTCGTGACTGATCTGACTCTGCTTCACTTTTCAGGTGGCAGAGCACCTTTAAAGATTGCCGCCCCTTCATCCTGTCACACATAATAAGATGACGTCGAATGGCGACACGAGCAATTGGTCCAGAACGTCGGAGGTAATGATCCTCACCAGGAAGATGTATGTAATTTTTGTGTTAATATTTATTTATGCAGTTTGTGGTACTCTAATGAGGCTAATATTGATGCCTGATCGACATACGTCAGTGTGCTCGTATTAGGTGTCATGGCCCTCCATACTTAATGCTGTCGTCATCAACTCCTGGCTTCTGTTGCTGCTGGATCTATACATTGTAAGTTACACAGCTGCTAGCAACATCCAATGTATGACCTTGTGGCACTGCAATGCAGTGAATCGTGGAAAGGTCATTCTTTCTTGCCATGATATGGGCCCATTTAGGCATTTGCCATCTTCCTAGACCTAGACGGAATAGTCACAACCCGTGAGTGTTGCGCTCCAGACATCATAGTACGACCGCCGCCGTTTTCAGATGGCCGACGACAGCGTCAAAAGAGACCGCAAGACACAGAAGAGAATAGAAAAGAACCTGGAGCAGACGCTGGCATCGGCCAACGAGATCACGGATGCACATGAACGCCTCGTTTTCGTCTGCAGGAAGCATGCAGAGTCCTTGGAAGAGAACAAGAAGCTAGTGGTATGTGCTGACGGTCGTGAACGGTGGACTCCGGGTACTGTAGATCTTAACATGAAGAGAAGTTGAGCATAGCAGCAGAGCCCAATAGTTCTGAGGAGAAGGCGTTGTGCTGCCATCTGCTACGCCAGCTGCAGCTAAATGTCTGACACGTCGGGATCGGTATTGAGCAGCATGTAATCGCGTAGCAATGGCAGCTTCAGGTCCTCCCATGGGCTGGTGGAAGCTGGACCGAAGCGGAGTGAGTGATTAATGAATGATGGATTTTCCGATCAAAGCAGGCTCATGGGAATAACAAAGCGATTTCGTACTCATCCCTGTGAAAAGTTATGAGTACTTTTCTTCTTAACTCACACGTATATTGTGTGCGATGCATGGTTTTTCACGGTTACGTTACGCCATTTGCGGAGATAAGAGTGAAGCTGAAGCAACGGAAGTTGATGTGTTCTTCAGGCAAAGGCAGTGATAGAAAGCCACAGCAGTGCACAATCACGGCTAGTTTCCTCGGCGCGATTAAACGATGCCGGGAAAGGTGTGCACGACGTCGCTCAATACGTAGCGAGTAAATCGTAGGATTTTAGGCTTTAAAATCGAGCCAGAGGTGCAGCAGCACAGCACCAATACATTATGGTTGCGAGTAGCGTTGGGGGAGGGTGGTGGTCGGTAATTGGTGACGGAACAGATGTTCGAAGGGCGATGCCATTTTGGGAGCGTTGCCGTGATGGTGCTGACCGCATTGAGATTCATGTCGGGGCACCGAAGTCGGAACGTATGACTTCGATGGAAGCTTAATAATCTGTTTGTGACGCATTCATTGAAATAAGTCGTTGTACGTTCTCACAAGATTCACTAAAACAGCAGTTGGGCCGCTGACAGTTCAAGTCCTTTGACGGTGGGCGTAGGTTGGCAGAACCGGAGTATATCATAGCAAGCAGAGGATGTTTTTGATAGCGATATGGAACAAGCTCAGCAGAGTGTTTTGCAGGAGTCGTCGTTTCAGATGAATCATATGTTGGTGATGACGGAGTACAAAATTTTCAGATGGATCATTTGTTGATTATGACAAAACGCTACATTTACGATCTGAATAGCATGTGTCGGATCTATACGTGTGCTTGCTCAGCGGAACCTCAACGCTACACGACCTGTATCACCAACATGCCACGCCATAACATTGCAGTCGAGCATTCGCAAGATGGAGCTGCGCGTGGACCATCTGCTGAAGGAGAAGCTGAACCTAGAGAGTGAACAGAGCAAGGCGCTGCTGACGCGGAGCCGCCTCGAAGGCCTGTGCCGGGAGCTTCAGAAACAAAACAAACTCGTCAAGGTACGCCTCCCCGAACACCCTCAGGCAGAGCGCTCTGGTGGCGAGCTCGATGGGTCAGATATGCTTACGATATGCAGATATGAACAAGGTTATCTGTTTGGGTACTAGAAATACACGTACGCCGCGTTCCCTTTAAGAAAAAAACTATGTGATTCAACCCATCACATACCCTGTAACCAGGCTTGCCCTTGGTGACCTAATACCCCAACGAAAACGCAGATTTTTCCTCTAGCCATTATCACTTAACGCAAAAAATATTCAGCTCCGGCGGTTATCACTTAAGGTAAGAAATATTCAACCCGTTTCTTCAAGTCAGGCGTTAAGAACATAAGGATGGGACCACCTGTCCCGAGGCGAGGTCATCTTCGCCGTCACGCCAGCCCGAGCAGCGCCGTCTCCGAGGCTTACCCGGTCCCCGGACAGTGCGGCGCCTCCCCCCCCCCCCCCCGTGCCGTCCGGTGAGCGAGCCGCCCGCGCTGCGGCAGGAGGAGAGCGTGGCGAAGATCCGCGAGGAGGAGGAAAAGCGGCGCGAGGTGTCCGCCAAGTTCCAGACCACGCTCAGCGACATCACCGGCACCATGAACGAGAACAACCAGAAGAACACCCGGCTCACGGAGGAGAACATCGAGATGTCCAAGAAGCTCAAGAGCCTGTGCGAGCAGTACGAACAGAATAACTCGGTGAGTCCGCTGAGGCAGGTTTGGTGCTAGGTGGCCTGGTGGTAACTTTTCGGCGTCTGATCCACCTAGTGCCACCGGTCATAAGACTTCGGTGTTCTATGTTTTAGCTACATGCGTTCTATTTTTGTCGTTTGTGTCCTAATGCTCGCGTTGATTGTGCTTTACGCACTGCCTGTTAACCAAGGGTGGTCTGTCACTGTGTTCAAGCTGGTTGAGAAGATGATGAAGCAGAAGGAGCTCGAGTCCCAGTTGGCTGAGGCACGCCTGGCCAAGATACAGCTCGAGATGAACCAAGAGAAGCAGGCCTTCCTCTTAGAAAAACAAAAACTCCTTCAGGTAGTTCTTGTACACTGCTTAAATATGACAGTCGTGGTATAGTTATCCTTGCGTCGATACCGCGTGTGCCCTGTCACACCAGAGTTACAAGCACTGGTGCGTCACCCGGTTGCTTACACCCGCTCGTTGTCACCTGCACCCGATCACCATCACCCGGGTGCGTGTCACCCGGGCGCGTGTCACCCGGGTGTGCTCACCCGTCATGCCGGCGGGAATCTCCTCAGCGATCTCGCTCAGCATCATCTGGATGGCCTAACGCGATCGAGAGACAGGAAGCCCCGTGCCTCGTCCGGTCTGTGTGAATGTCACTGATGAGAGCGCGGCAGCGAGGCCGGAGCGGCGCCGGGCCACGTCCGGCGGGTCTCCGGCGCCCCACCCCGCACCGCTGAGCGGACACCCTCGGTGCCGGCAGGAGATGTCCACCTACCAGAAGCGCTGCACAGACCTGCAGGTGTCGGAGGTGGCGTTACGCGAGCAGCTGAGCACCTACACGGAGAAGTACGAGGACTTCCAGGGCGCCCTCGCCAAGTCCAACAAGGTGTTCGGCACGTTCAAGTCCGAAATGGAAAAGGTGCGGACAGTGTTACGAGATGCGTGCCACCCAGCAGTTGCCGCTGTATAGTTGTTATGTGGTTTGCTTGATTTCCTACGTAGGCCAGTTTACCTATGTCAGCTTTTTCGTGATAGGTTATGTGGTTATGCATGTTGTGGTCGTATATTGTTGTCTTAATAGTCAGTTGTCCTTTCGTTCAGTTTATACAGTTTGCATGCACATCTTGTATAAAGACATCCCTTTCATAAGCGCGATGACGGCATGCATCTCAAGAACATTATTCCCCAGTGTTATTGGCATATTGGCATCCAGTCACGCGAGTAATATTAATGCACCACACGACAAATAATGATGGCTCGCAAAGGGTATTCATCTACGGCTCGCGGACAGAAAGCTGTCATATTTCTATGCTGCGAGAACAATGCCCACTTTTGCCCGCTGATCCTTTCCCGTTCATTAAACGACATGCCGTATTCTGGAGAGGGAGAAGTGGACGTAAGAACTGAGGGCCTGCCGTCTGGCGCTGGCCCTCGCTTTCATTCTCGTCCGCTCGTCATGAGGGTCACGCCACTGAGCTGTTGCGGTGCTCCGGTGTTGACGTGAGCGTGTTCCGGCGCCGCAGTGCCAGTTCACACCGCTCCTGGTACCGCGGTGTTCCGTGCGGTGCTCCCGGTGCCCCTCTGTTGGCGTGTCACTGTCGGGGTAGTCCAGCGCCGGCGCCCGGCTGCCCCGACGCCGCATTGTTAGGTCGGTGCCGCCGACCTGCTGGGCCAGTGTGAGCGTGCGACCGTTCCTGTGTCCCGTGGCCTGTATGCCACTCTCCCGGTTGCTCGGTGAAGGCCTGCAGGCGTAGACGCAGTGGAGTGTGTCGATGTCAGCTGTCACTGTCGACTGCGTGATCGTCCTAGCGTCAGCCTGTGATCGTTCCGGAGTCAGTCCAGGTCTGGTCCGGTGTCAGTGCGGGACTGGCTCGGTGTCAGCGCGGGTCTGGCGTGATGTCAGGCCCAGTCTAACCCGGTGTCAACGCGGGTCTGGCCTGGTGTCAGTCCGGGTCTGCCCCGGTGTCAGTGTGCGGCTGTCCTGATCTCCGAGTAACTCGGTGTCGTCGCGGCTCTGACTCGGTGTCAATGCGTGACTGTCCTGGTCTTCTCCGAGCACCTCGGTGTCAGCCCGTGTATATCACGGCGTCTCAGTACCAGCGTGTGCCTGTCGCGGCCAGCCTGATGTCCGGAGCGGCCCGGCCCGGTCCCCCTGAGGCCAGCCGGTGGCCTCCGCCGCCGGCGACACACGCTCGTGCTGCGCGGCTCGGTGGCTCGGTAGGGCGACTCTCCGCGCCGGTGGGGGACGTCAGCCCTCCACCGGCGGCCCTAGCTGGTGACGCGTGCTGTGATTACTGTGGTTTAGCGTATCGTGTGGCTATAACGACAAGCTTCAACTAATGAATCACTTACTTTACCGGTTTTCCCTTGAGTGCGCAATCATATCAGCGACATAACTTGCATTATTTCTTTTAAGCTGGACTTAAGCTGTGGTTTTTGTCAACGTTGTGGTGTTGTGTCATGTTGCTGCATGTGAACTGGCAAGAGTGCAATGTTTTTTCAGCATCAAATAACCTCATGCCTCCGATTAATCCCACCTTGTCTTGCAATGAAATTTGGGTGGGATATTACTGTTCATAGGGCTGTCGTGGTAAAGCGTTGAACGTTCAGCATGTATTTGGTAATTTTCTTCGGTTATTTTATGTTAGGCGTACACTTATATATTTTACTTCATAGCTTCATAGTTAATTTGTGTTCGTGGTAAGGATGACCTAGTATTTTGTACTGGTTTTCACCCATTATTTTCTTTATTTTCCCTGTTTTTATCATTCACCCTATCATAACTTACTCTTCATACAGGCGGACAAACGGTAAAAGAAGATCTCCGTTCTCCCGGTCCCTCCTTTCCACTTTGTCTGCCCTTCTGTGTGCCCCATTACTTTCCGCGCTCTGACCGCGGTCGGTCACCGGCCCACCTCAGATGCAGAAGAACATCCGCCGGCTGGAGAAGGAGACGAGTACGTGGCGGCAGCGCTGGGAGGGCAGCAACCGCTCCCTCCTCCAGATGGCCGAGCAGAAACAGGCCGACGACAGCCAGCTGCTGGCCCAGCGGCGGCGCATCGAGACCCTGGAGCGGCTCTGTCGAGCGCTGCAGGCGCGTGCCACCGCCCCCCCGGCCCCGGCCGGCAGTGGGGAGTGTACCGTCCCCCTGCCCCCGCCCCCCCCCCCCCCGTAGTGCTCAGTGTACCGCACGCCCCTGTGGTAGTGCTCAGTGTACCGTCCACCTCTCCGGCAGCGCTCGTTGTACCGTCTACCCCTCCGGTAGTGCTCAGCGTACCGCACGCCCATCTGGTAGTGCTCAGTGTACCGTCCACCTCTCCGGTAGTGATGAGCGTACCGTCCATCCCTCCGGTAGTGCTCGGTGTACCGCCGACCGCCTTCGTTCGTTCTACACCAGTAAACGCTGTATCTGACTGTGTCTGTAGCCATTCCTGCCTGGATGTGCGCTTGCTAGTGTATCCCGCAGCCGGCGCGGATCTGTCTGAGTGACGAGTGTTGCGTGCGGGCAGTTGCTGCGGCCGTGCGCTGTGTCGGCCGTCAGCGGCCGCGGTGACGCGCCGCGTCCGTGGCCGCCCGCAGTGGGCAGACAGCTCACTGGCGGGGCGCGCCGACACAGCTCACTGGCGGGGCGCGCTGACACATCTCACTGACGGGGCACGCCGACACAGCTCACTGGCGGGGCACGCCGACACAGCTCACTGACGGGGCACGCCGACACAGCTCACTGGCGGGGCGCGCCGACACAGCTCACTGACGGGGCACGCCGACACAGCTCACTGGCGGGGCACGCCGACACAGCTCACTGGCGGGGCGCGCCGACACAGCTCACTGGCGGGGCACACCGACACAGCTCACTGGCGGGGCACACCGACACAGCTCACTGGCGGGGCACACCGACACAGCTCACTGACGGGGCATGCCGACACAGCTCACTCGTGATGGGGCACGCCGACACAGCTCACTGGCGGGGCGCGCCGACGCAACACACTGACGGGGCACGCCGACACAGCTCACTGGCGGGGCACACCGACACAGCTCACTGGCGGGGCACGCCGACACAGCTCACTGGCGGGGCACACATACACAGCTCACTGGCGGGGCACGCCGACACAGCTCACTGGCGGGGCTCACCGACACAGCTCACTGGCGGGGCACGCCGACGCAGCTCACTGGCGGGGCACGCCGACACAGCTCACTGGCGGGGCACGCCGACACAGCTCACTGGCGGGGCACACCGACACAGCTCACTGGCGGGGCACGCCGACACAGCTCTCTGGCGGGGCACACCGACACAGCTCACTGGCGGGGCACACCGACACAGCTCGCGCCGACACAGCTCACTGACGGGGCACGCACGCCTGCGCCGCCAGTGACCGCCCCCGATCCGGCCGACTCCAGCGGGCGACGGCCTGCCCAGCGGCGCGCCGATGACGAGACGGAGGTCACCTCCAGCCAGGACGGCCTGGTCGACTCGACGAGCGCGAGCGAGCCGGCGCCGGCCCGGCGGCCCGGCCCATGTCGACCTCGGACGAGGCGCCGGCTCGCCGGTCAGCTCGGCCACGGGGTACCTGTGAGCGGGCGGCCGGCCGCGGCGCCGCCCTGCTCCCTCGCTGTCACACCGCCATCCGCCTAGACGGGATGGCACGGCCGCAGCTGGTGCATTCTCCTCGAGTTCTTGGCTGTCCTCTCCATGTGCACATAGTAGATCGTCCAATAAATAGCCATGCGATGTCTGCTTATTGGTCGGCGGGAGCTTTCGGGCGTGCACTCGAGACTGGGCCAGACAGTGGACGGCTGGCAGCGGTCAGTGTATTAACAAAGTGACGTCGGGCCGAAACATACACAAACACACAGACACATACACGCGCGCGCGCGCACGCGCTCACGTGTTCTCTACGTCACACTGGCGTGCGATGTTTGCAGCTAACAACACATTTAACACTGGGCCCAGACATCTCGCATAACAGTCCGTTCTGCACCCAGATAACACGCATCACGCCCTCACCATACTCTGAATAAACCAAGCAACGCACCGCCCGTAGCGCAGATAACAAACGCCTCACACGGAGCTCAGGTAAACTCCCCAGCCTCGATGTGCACGCCGAGCTCAGTTCAACTCCCCAGCCTTGGAGCTCATACGGAGTTCAGGTAAACTTAGCCTCGGAGCTCATACGGAGTTCAGGTAAACTCAGCCTCGGAGCTCACACGGAGCTCAGGTAAACTCCTCAGCCTCGGAGCTCACACGGAGCTCAGGTAAACTCCTCAGCCTCGGAGCTCACACGGAGCTCAGGTAAACTCCTCGGCCTCGGAGCTCACACGGAGCTCAGGTAAACTCCTCAGCCTCGGAGCTCACACGGAGCTCAGGTAGACTCCTCAGCCTCGGAGCTCACACGGAGCTCAGGCAAGCTCAGCCTCGGCACATAGACTGCCCAGTCTACAAACCCGCAACGGGACACGCGACGCGGGTCCCAGACAGCCCCACCACACCCAGTCGGGCGGCGCCCGGCACCCATGCGGCGGCGTCAGGCGCGGTGCCGTTTTCGCCTGGTGGCCGTCTCTGCCTGCCCGGCCGCCGTCTCCACCTGCCGGCCGCCGTCTGCCCGCCGTGTCTGCCTGCCCGGCTGCCGTCTCGACCTGCCCGGCCGCCGGGGGCGCCGCGTCGCCAGTGGGCAGTGACGGAGGCGCCTCCATGGGCGGGTTGCCGTCGCTGATGCCAACTGGGCTCGCCTCGGAGGTCACCGAGGTCTGCGCCTGGGGCGCAGACGTGCCGTGTACAGCGTAGGTGCGGGCAGGCGGATGCCGGAACAATGCTGGGACGGGGCTGGAGGGGTACCGCGGCCGTCCGGTGTGAGGCAGGGGATAGTGGTAGTTGTATGGTATTGGGTGTGGATGCGTGTGGTAGTAGCTCGTTGGGGTTTTGGGTGTATGCTGGTAGTGATAGTTGGCTGGCGTCGTGGGTGGATGCGGTTGATGGTAACTCGCTGGTGTTGTGGGTGGTTTCGGATAGTGGTAACTCGCTAGTGTTGTGGGCACATGTCTATGGTGATAACTTGCTGGCGTTGTGGGTGCATGTCGATGGTGGTAACTAGCTGGCGGTGTACGCGTTTGCTGATAGTGATACCCCGCCGGTGTCGTGTATGGATGTGGAAGATGGTAGCCTTGAGTTTTCGTACGTGGGCGCGGAGTCGCCAGTATACTGTTGTGCAGATGATCACCGCTTGCCAGCATTCCATGGGCCTCGGTGGTATAGTATCCTGGTCGCGCATAGTCAGGATGCGGGTAAGGTCTGGCGGTGGCGTGCGGTGGAGGGTGGTGGACGTAGCCTGACAGGTCCGCAGGAGGATGATAGACGTCGGGTGTGGCGTGCGGCGACGGGGGGTAGCGCTGCTGTGGCGGCCGGTGCGGCAGGGGTGGAGCAGTTGTCGGAGGAGGGTAATAGTCCAGAGGAACTTCATGCTGCGGCGGATGGTACCCCCCGGGAAGCCCGCCCTGCTCGTGCGGGGCTCGACTTGGCCCGGCCGGGTGGTGGCGGTGCCCTTGAGGCGCTCTCGGGGGCGGCAGATGCCCCTGCGGTGGATACTGCCCCACCGCAGTGTACTCGTTATGATGATACCCCTGCCGGTAATACTCCCCTGCTTGTATAAGCGCTGGCGTGTGTCGCTCCGGTCCGGGATACTGTCCCGCCGTTGCGTGTCCCGTCGGATGATACCCCCACCCGAGCTCTGGTCCCGCCTCCTCCGCCGCTGTGACCCGGCCGGCGGGGCGCCGCGCCGGCTCGGGCGTACCGCGGTGGCGGATGTCCGGCCGCGGCGTGCTCGGCGTCGGCGCTGGCGCTGGCGGCCTCTCGGGCTGCACCAGATGACCGTCTCCGGAGTAGGTCCGCGGCGTCTCTGTCGCCGCCGGCCGCGGGCTGGCGCCGCTGGCGTACCGCGCCGCCGGCGGACGGGGCCGCTCTAGCGGCGGAGGCGCCGCCGCGGCGTGGGGCCGGCGCTCCCTGCTCGGCGGCCGTGGGAGGCGGCGCCCGCTTGGTCGGACCGCCACCACCGCTGCCGGGACCGGGCGCGGCGGCGGCGCCTCGTACCGCTCCGGTTCGCGGCCGTACAGCCGCTCGTTGACGTAGAGGAAGGCGTCGGAGCGCGGACAGTCGACACTGTGCCACCAGTCGCACACCAGGTGCTGCTGGCTGAACACGGTGCCCACGTTGCAGAGGAACGACTGCCGGCTGCGTGATTCGGAGCAGTAGTGCCACACCTGTCGACGCACGGGACAGGGTTGAACCGGGGCTGAGCCAGGGCCGGGACAGGGCCGAGCCGGAGCCGGGACATGGCTGAGCCGGGGCCGGGGTAGGGCTGAGCCAGGGCCTCGACAGGGCTGAGCCGGAGCCGGGGCAGGGCTGGGACAGGGCTGAGCCAGGGCTGAGCCAGGGTCGGGGCAGGGCCGGACCAAGGCCGAGACAGGGTTGAGCCAGGGCTTCAACAGGGCTGAGCCGGAGCCGGGGCAGGGCTGAGACAGGGCTGAGCCATGGTTGAGCCAGGGCCGGACCGTGGTTGAGCCGGAGCCGGGACAGGGACAGGGTTGAGCCGGGGCCGGACCATGGCTGAGCCGGGACCGGGACAGGGCTGAGCTGGGCCGGGACAGGTTGAGCCGGGACCGGACCATGGCTGAGCCGGGGCCGGGACAGGGCTGAGCTGGGCCGGGACAGGTTGAGCCGGGACCGGACCATGGCTGAGCCGGGGCCGGGACAGGGCTGAGCTGGGCCGGGACAGGTTGAGCCGGGGCCGGACCATGGCTGAGCCGGGGCCGGGACAGGGCTGAGCTGGGCCGGGACAGGTTGAGCCAGGACCGGACCATGGCTGAGCCGGGGCCGGGACAGGGCTGAGCTGGGCCGGGACAGGTTGAGCCGGGACCGGACCATGGCTGAGCCGGGGCCGGACAGGGCTGAGCTGGGCCGGGACAGGTTGAGCCGGGACCGGACCATGGCTGAGCCGGGGCCGGGACAGGGCTGAGCTGGGCCGGGACAGGTTGAGCCGGACCGGACCATGGCTGAGCCGGGGCCGGGACAGGGCTGAGCTGGGCCGGGACAGGTTGAGCCGGGACCGGACCATGGCTGAGCCGGGGCCGGGACAGGCTGAGCTGGGCCGGGACAGGTTGAGCCGGGACCGGACCATGGCTGAGCCGGGGCCGGGACAGGGCTGAGCTGGGGCCGGGACAGGTTGAGCCGGACCGGACCATGGCTGAGCCGGGGCCGGGACAGGGCTGAGCTGGGCCGGGACAGGTTGAGCCGGGACCGGACCATGGCTGAGCCGGGGCCGGGACAGGGCTGAGCTGGGCCGGGACAGGTTGAGCCGGGACCGGACCATGGCTGAGCCGGGGCCGGGACAGGGCTGAGCTGGGCCGGGACAGGTTGAGCCGGGACCGGACCATGGCTGAGCCTGGGCTGGGACGCCGATGGCTCCCAGTCTCACCATCTCTGGACATTATTGTTCGATGCTGAAAACGCGCTGGAATTCCATCCCCCGTTGTTGAAAAGTTTCCGTTCATGTAAAACATTCGCTTACTCGTCATGCATTACACCCTTACCAAATGCCTCAGGTTTTCTAAATTCTTGGTTTTTATGTCTTTTATCCATGCCAAATATCATCCAACTGTC